GTGTGGCGACTCAGGCAATCGTTACGCAACTCGAACCCGACAGTTGCGGTTGCGTTACAGATCATACGGGTCAATTCGTTTCAATGGAACGGTTGTAGCATCCACACAGTCTCTTTTCTCGAAAAAATAACTGATAACCACTGTGCGTAATGTAACTGAGCAGCGGTAGAAAGGTGTCCCTGAAACGTGTTCAGCCCCGGCGCATCGTGTAGGTCGCTTACACTTCCCCTCTTCCTTCTCCTGAAGAGCATGACAGGGACGGTAGATGGGACTTATTTGCAATTTTCCACAATCTGAAGCAGTCTCCCAATCTTATCTCTGTTTGTCTGCCGATCTCATGTTTCTGTTTTCTTTCCTTCCCTTTTTGCTTTCCTTCCGCGTACAGGCAGTCGCTCTCTTCGATGGCAGCGACTAAAAACGGACTGCTCGGGCTCTCAAGCTGAGAGACCACGCACTTTCAAGATCATTTGTTGTCCAAATAAACTCGAGGCGTTCGTTCAAACCTGAGACCCAGTGACATCTTGGTCGTTTTCAGTAAGAACAATAAATGCTTACCATTTTGTATCCTGTGTTTCCGCATTATGGTTAAAACATGGTGAGATATATTGAGTGTAGCTGCGACTAAACACGCATGAATGAATGACTGCATCTCACGACTTAGAATTCAAGTCTTAACAGAGACCTGAAAATAAAACTGCAGTGCATTTCCAGTTATATAACGTTTTCCTTACGTTCCCACAAATCGAAAAACATGGCCCGTCACTGCATTCTAACTCCGCAGCTCACAAACATGCCTAGCATTAATATATAACCGAGTCTTCTCCGTTAATGAGAACACCGCATAAGCGAGTGTCCTTATTTGTCAAGAGGATGAAGCATCAAAGTTACGGCTGAGAAGTTTTGATCTGGTCGCGGCAACCGCACCCGAGGTTGTTGTGCACGTGAATTACGTGCTATATGAACAAAGAAAAATGACACCATTGGTAATGACAATGGATTAAATAAAGAACCAGGTAACACGTAGCAGTGTTAATGCAAGCCAGAGAAATATACCATACAAAAGCCTAAAGCCTAAAAAACGACGATGCCATTATGGCTTGACAATGTTGTTTGCGTTATGACGCACCAGCTCCACTCATAACAGTCTGCCGCGCCCATATGTCATCTTAAACAATCTTTAAAAACTGAAAACACAGCCCCATTTGAGCAGATTGAAAATACTAAGCTACATCTCAACCATGATTCGCTTAATATGCTGCACACTCCTGGCAAATCGCAGCCAATCATAGTCACACTTCCCATTAATCCACCAATCACGCCTTCCGGTTATAACAAGCCACGACTAATGTCGTGCAGCCGAGTGGATTGCAGCGGCACTTTATGAAACATTCACCAGCTTATTCAAGACGGCCAAGGTTTTATCAAATGAGCTGGCGAGACGTTCACTGCAGCCGCTGCCGTCGTGTGAATAATTCAGGGCGGGGCCATTGACGAGGGCACGGGCAGCTCGCCGGTGATGTCACGACCTGAGCCGCTCGCGCTCCGCACCGGTCTGGCGTCGCTGGCCGTGACGGGCGCCGTGACGGCGACGTCACCGACTCGCCCCACCCACTCCCGCCTGACACCGGTGACACGGCCCGCTGAGAACAGGGGATCTCGGTCTCGTTCGAAGCACGCTGCCACGGTGTTGCTGGGTTTGGAAGCGATCCAAACGAGGGCGTAAAATGTCTTGCGCATAAAGTGACGATACAAGGCAACTGCCGCGTGCGGGCACCACCCATATGCTGGTGGACACAGGGAGGGTGATCCGCCCATGCCACGTCAAACTAGTTCGGCGGAGCTCTTCATCGAACCACCTAAGCACAGCGTCACTCGAAACCAGACAGAACTTATTCAGAGCCCTCATTGATCGATGATTTCTTTGTAACTTGTTATAGTCTGCAATCAAGTGTTTCTGGTCGTTTTCGTCATTGTGTCCTGCATTGTGCATAAGCTGGCAGAATTCGGATTCATAAGCGGACGTAGCCCCGAAGTTGTAAGTGTATCAGGCACCGCACAGCAGAGGGGAACTTTACGGTAGGTTCGCACAAACAGTGCACGCACTCAAGTGCATTCAGCCCGCTTTTGCGTGCAAAGGGAGTGCTAGTTACTTCGTAAAACACGGCAGCCTCACTGAATGCAGTGTTGCTAGCGCTTATGCAGTTCACCAACGCACTGTGCTTGCCAGAGTTAGGTTACAAAGTGCGGACTACCTCAGAATTATGCTGATCATTCATTTTTAGCAAGACATTATAGCATCAGGCTAAATCGCATCACCTCAGAAAAATAATAGGAACGCAATATAAACTAAATCAAACCAACGTACCTTATGGCCAGGCCACGGTGCTCGAACATCTTGAGCAATGCAATTTCGATCCTAAGTTGGGCATTAGGGCGAACAGCACGGGAGGAAGTTGGTCCATTTTGCGGTCTGTCAAACATAATAGCTCTAGCGCATCCATGTATTTCAGATTTAGAAAATTCATCGACGAAGTTGTCAAACTGCGTAACACAGGGCGCGAACAACTTTCATTATCGTAGAGACTTAGACTGACGTGTGCAAATGCAGAATGAGTAAAGTTGGGAGCGGCCTGACATAAGTGGCCTCGAGCAGAGGCATACGCTGCCCATTTTGCTCAAGGCCAACAGCTGCGCACGTATTTTTATACCGCCCTGTTTCAGTTGCACTCTTGTTATCGGATCATCGCGATAATTTCATTTCTAGCAGAATTAGGCCGGACCTTTTCAACAGATCGATTGCAGGGATTTCTAGGAGAGCCAGCACTTATGAGTGCTTGTTACGTGGGCCCGCACCCATCATCCGATCGTAAAATTGCAGGTCTACGGCAGCATTTTGTGGCGAAAGTTTAAGGTGCCCAAATTCTCAGCACGGTCCGTTCTGCCCTCTGACGTCACTTGACCTTTCACCAGGCCGCTGCCACCGGCCGTGGGTAATCCTAATCAGAGGCAAATAAGCTATTTCAACCCACCCCATCCTGGAAGGGGTATCGAAATACAGGCGCTCCAATCAACTGAGCTATTGGTTTGGACTACATAGGCATGTACTGTGTATGCATGTACCTAATGAGCGTGTTTTGAGGAGAATTATGAAGGGGGTCAAATGATGCATCATGCCGCGACCCGTCGCATAGCGTACCTGAATAATAGACAGAGCCGGTACCAGGAGCAGGACGTCAGGTATGAAGCTCAGACCGAAGTGAAAACTTATTTGCTTTTTTACTCGAAAGCTTGCTGAATGATGTGGTTTCTGGTGCCTATTTCGAATCTATTAATAACAGGGGCCGCAACAGACATCTTCCGTGAACCTTTTAGCGGTAAGAGTAGTTCATTTAACTAGAATCACCCAGGTCAGTTTCTTAGAAGCACAGTGCTTGACGTAATCTTTGACTCTCATTCAAATGCAAAAGCGAATTGGACTCGTAAGGATTTTGGTCACCATGACCTTCTCAAAGTTAAACACGGTCATTGGCATTAAATGCAAACCAGTAACATTTTGCTTAGGACAGGCATCAAGGCTCATGGCGGTTGCATGAGGAGGTCTGGGGCACATTGCACACGAATCTGTAGTTTGACCTTGTCTGACCTTATCTGACCGAAGGTCATGAGCTAGGAACTTCGTATATTACCACATGTAATTCCATCTACAGACCAATCTACCTTCCGAATATCTTGCCTCTAATTCTCTTAGTTATCGAGATCGCAGGGGGTTAAGTGGACCTCCCTCATCCAAGCAAAGGGTATTTAGCCGGCCACCCGAGCGCATGTTTAGTGGATATGCCACCTTTTTTGTACTTTCCTGTTCAGCACAACAAAAGTATTGACTTTTCATTCACTTCGCCCCCTCCGATACGCTTTTTCGATAATTCTTGCAAAACACTAGTTGGTTAAAACGCTTGAGGGATTAATGCCACGAACGCGTGGAACACTTTATTTAGAGGAAAATATATGCCAATCTGAGGACGTTATCATTCGAATTTAATGACACGAGACGCAGCACATGATCTAAGGTGACGAACCGGTTAAAGCTTTAAACGACAGTTTTTTGGTATGTGACCTTAGCCGCCCGCTGTGCCAATCACAAACGTTTATTCTGTACCGACGTCATTCACTTTAGAAGAGGTGCAAATTTTATGCAAACAGACCCGCAATGTGCACGTTAAAACAGCGTATAAGTGGTGCTTCTGGTCCGGAACAGCTGACAACGGTGCTCAGCAAATTCTGCCGTCGTCAATTACCGCGGACTAGCGCTACATTCTGATGCTGCAAAGAAATAATTAAGTTCCTTGTTGTGGCAAAACGTTGGCAGCGTACCTCGGACTCGGAAATAATCAATCTCATTTCATCTTGATCCTTCTGCAGTGGCAATGACCAGTATCATTGTTAGACTAACTGGTCCTGAGGTTTCGCCAGACCATAATTTGAAATATGACCCAAGGGGGGGGGGGGGGAGGCACTGCCTTTAACGGCGTATTTAAAGAGGGACACCGTGATACGTGCCCTTGTATCAAATTCATGGATGCACTCATGTATATTTGAATAAATGCCGATGATGAAAACAATCAAGACAGACAAAAGCAAGTAAATTGAAAACACGTTATGTTTTTATGTGTCATGTTGGACATTTCGTGCGAATGTGTGCCAGTTTTCTTCACTGGGCATTTTGAGACTCCAGCTCCACCGCAAATCCCTGCATACGCCCTTGACGAGACTCACCTCTATCCTTGGCGGCCAAGTTCGTGAACCACTTATCTGCGAGGTGTGAAACGTGACTTACCTCGATTCTGGTTCCGACCTTTTCCTTTCTCTCTAGCAAGCCTTTTCCTAGATCCGACCAACCGCCGGGGAGTCTCCATGACCTGATCCTTGACACACTTAACTGGTGGGTGCATCCGTGACCGTGGTGGCGGGCCCCTGTCTCCTTGACCTGACCCCTGACCCACCTGACTGGCGGGTGCGTCCCGTGGCCATGGCGGCAGGTCCAAGTCCGCGAGGATTCCGGATGGCCAGGCTGAACAGGTACTCCGTGTAAGCCTCCAGGCCGGATACCACGAGCGCCTGCAATCGCCCCGCGTCAAGACGAGTCATATAAAAAGGAGAAAGAGGATTGACAGCGGTAACTGGGTAGAGCCGATAGGAATGGACTGCTGGCATTGTGAAGCATCTACGCACTATATTTGTAAATGACAGACGACACAGACATTGTGATATTCGAACAGGTATATGGTTATCGGCGACTGTCACATTCAATAAAAACCCACAATCCCACAAATTGAATGACTCACACGAAATCAAGAAATTCCGGTTGCTCAGCTCAGTGCGAGTGGCCACCATCATTTTCCAACTGCCTTCAGGTTGTTTTTTAAGTCAAAGGAATTCCAGGATCTTATCTCTCGTCTTTTCAGCAGTTATCAGGATTAATGATATGGTTTTCTACGCCTGTATTCTGAAAGATACTGCTCCTCTTTGATATGCAAATTCACGATCCTCCGCCGAATCGTTCTGATGAAGACAATTAAGTAGTTATATATTGTAATTTAGGGCTTTTTCAACAGCTCTTAACATACCCGTTGGCTGTACCGTTTCAAGGGGTCTGGTTCAAACGAATGTTATTCTAAATTTTGCAGAACGGAAGCACGTGCATAACAGACTTACCAGCAGACATGAATTTATTTACCACGGAGGAGCTTGTCCCTTTATCAGTGACGTCATAATTACTCACGTGAGGTTCTCATTTGCTTCACATTTGATGAGGGTGTGTAGCTGTATACACTTTAAATAAAAAGAGGTGTACTAGATCACGGTGTTGAAATAAATGACGATTGAAAAACTATCGGAACAGAAACTCCTTGAAAGTGTTGAATGGATGTCAATGATCATGCAGCCAGGGCAGACACTCCCTGCATGCCAACTGGCCTTTGCTGTTAATTAAAATTGCCTGTTACGGTTAATTAATTAAAGCGATTAATTAAAAGCGTCTGATATTTATTACGTCCAAACGGAATGGGCACTGACAGCCAAATACTCTGTCTCAACTCGCATGACCAGGAGGGTTAGAAAAACGCTCATGTTGGCTCGGCGATATCTTTCCTGCCATTCCTAGTTACAAACTGAAACTAAAAATATTGCATACGTTTGTCCGCATTCGTAAGTTCTTACCGCTCCAGTGCTCAGTCCAGAGCAGGGCATATCACATAGGCTGGGAACAACTTGCCTAGACGCTACTGGGGCCTATCTCACAGGGCCCAGGTGAAATTGGATGTCCAGACATTAATTACGTCGGACTCTGTTCCTCCAAGACTGCGCCTAAGGAGCCCGCGACCTTCTCCGGAGTAATATCCTATGGGCCAACCAAGGTATCAAACTCCGGTCTCACCGGACGCTGTCAGATTCAGACGTCCATTCCTGGGCTGCCCAGGATGGTGCTGATTAAGTTCCTTTGTTCTGAGTTTTCGCCTCGGGCGCCGGAGCAGACGCACACATATTTTGGTCCACCCATTCATTTCGACAGCCGAGCAATACGCGCGCAAAATACCGACACACGTGAGATGATAAGGAGGATGTTCTGTATACTGGGTTGATCGGGTTGGGTGGGTTAAGGTCGTTTCGATTGGTTTCAGATGGGTTCGCTTGGGTCTAGTTAAGCCGATTCAGTTGGGGCTAGGCTGTGCAAGATTCAGCATTGGCTTCTAGAGCTTTGTGAAAGCTTTCAGAGCATGCCTACAACTTCATAGCCTTTCAAAAATTGGCAAGGCTGCACGTGAAGTGAGGCTTTGGGCGGGTGAGGTGCGGTGACGTAGACGTTTACCTTTGACAACATCTCCCTCTGAAAGTCTGCTACGAGGCTGTCTTTGCCTGGTACGTAAGATCCCTCAAGAAAACGATAAATTTTGACGCAACACTATTTATCCGACCAGACTTAAGCTGCACTTGGGTCAAGACTCAAACTCTGACCCATCAGCCGCAAAAACGAATGAATCCAGACTCGAGACTCCTCGTATCTGAAGTGGATGGACTCGGGACCAGGAGACAAACTTGTGACGCCTGTGCTAAGACTCAAATATGTGAACTTCGAGCTATCCCTGCCCACCGCGCAACATCTTGACCGGGATGGCAGCCCTGGCCATCTGTTTGGGTCAGCGGTGCCCGTGATCGGTGCTCACATCAGATGCATTCGAATGTTTCAGATCAGGTGATCAATTCAAACGATGGGATGCACTTGCATAGGGTGGGCAGGTGAATCTGTGTTACATGTTTAACACAACCGTTCACACCAGAGCTCTGCTTAAAGGGTCCACGCCGGCTGTTCAAGTTAGCTACATGTCACCAATGCATGTCAGGCCGAAGGCTCACCGATACATTTCACATAAGAGGCAATAGCTGAAGCAACTTGGTAAATGGATTCCCTCTAAAAATCCCGATCATAGCTTAAAAAACAACCAGGTCACCTTCATACCCCACCATTACTCGTCACAGGTTTATTCATTCTGTACGCCGTATCTGTTTACTTCAACAGCTATTCCCACACGTTCAACCCAAACCGTTCGAGTCACAAATACATCCCAGATACCAAGTCATAGGTCCACCCCTCCTGATCAGGGCGTGACCCCTCGCCAAAGGGTGGCTCCATCAGGCGGCCAGTGACCGTCACATTCGTGACCCCTCGCCAGAGGGTGGCTCCGCCCGCCGTCCACTGACCGTCACGTTCTGTTCGGTGATGACCAGGCTGCGGTTAGTGCCGGTGGCCGGGGACCGGTAGGTCAGCTGGTAGCCGAGGAACTCTCCGTGCAGCGTGCTGGGTGGCGCTGGTCGCCAGGTCAGCTGCACAGCCGTGGCACCCCGGCTGACGGCCCTCAGGTCAGCCACCTGTCCGCTGGGCGCTGCAACGGCCAACAAGCTGCCACCAACCGCGGTAGGTGCGCGGGAAAGGGATTGACACGGCATGCTGTCAAGGTGTTTGTTAAACAAAAACTTTAGGGTACACAGTTGTAACAGGCACAGCACAACCAATAAAAGAATATAAATAAACTACAGTAGATTGGCCTTGTGTGGACGAAAACACGTTTGGTGAGTAACGACCATTTCCGGACATGTTATTAGGAAGAGGCGAGTGACGGAGCAAAAACTGCAGCCATCAACGGCTACTTACGTTAATGCGCGTCACCCCGCACAGGGGCATTCCTGTGCGGTTTATGCGGACGCTCGGTCGGGCGCCGCCGTCAGGGTAGCCCTGACGGCACCTCATGACTGAGGGCCGCAGCTTGTCGCGGTGAGACGGGCTTCGCGATTATTTAGGATCAAGCATTGAATGAAGACAACAGGGCGGACGATTTTGAAGCGGACACATCCTCACGCTCTATGTAACTGCACGTCGATTCTGTTTCGTACTCCCAGACGGAACGTGCAGCTTAAAGGCCGCTGGAAGGCCAGGGGCTCGACTGGGTGGTGGCACTACCCATGCGGGTGCCACTGGGTTCGTGGGGTTTCGTTAGGGCGACGGAAGTTTGATCTTCACTTGATGAATTTTCAATGATGTTGTTGAAGTGTGCTCGACATTGACCTGATGCAGTTCTCAACGGGATAAATGCAGCTCTCGACGGGGCCAAAACGCCGTACTCAGTGGTGGTCGACGGCACTAAAGCGGATGGCTGCATTAATATTGGTTAGCGCGTCGGAACGCGTTGTGTTTTTGTTATTTCGTTGACTGCCGTGCCTTCTCGGAGCCATCGCAAAAACATAGATGATGAACACGTCCGGCTTTTTTTCTATTCGCCCTGGGCGGGGGAGAGAAAGACAAGTAGGCGGGGCGCAACATCTCCCCGTCTTTAATCTCGCATCCCATCCGACACGTGGCGTAGCCGGATCGCACGGTCGGGGACGTCGGGCTCACTCGGCGCTCCGCTCTCGGTGTCAGATTTGCGTCAGATCGCGAACGCAGGCGCCCCGAAAACAGGAGCAGGAGTGTGGCAAAGCTTCCTTCAAGTCAAGGCCAGCAGCGGGAGGGATTTTGTGGAGATGTTCTGTTGTACACCTGCGCCGCTGTCCCCTCAACCCGTTGCGTGAGTCGAGCTGCTGGCGTTTGCCTGTTTACATGACGACGTCTGTGTGACGTGCTTGAGGCTATTTCATGCACAAGTTTGGAAAACCTTTCATGTGGTTTGATGCTCCAAGAAATTCGCGCCAAATTTTTAAATCGTGGGCAACCGTGATGGGTTCGAGAAAAAAGCATCCTGGTTGAATGGATAGAAATAATTCACATTGCTGTATTAGGTGCAATTTTCGAAAATTGTACAACGCTTTAAACTGATTGATCCAATAAGTCATCGTGCAAATGGTCATTGTGTTTGGGTGGCTTATGGCTGTGGCTCACTGGCCCATCACAACAGTCAATAAGAAAGCGTGAACTGTGGTATGTCCTAACTTAACGCGGTGCTCAACATCTGAGCATGGGACGTCAAATATATCGGAGAAAGCTAACACGAGGGTGGGAGCGTGTGGTGTTTGTGTGAATGTGTGTGTTTGTTTAGGTTGGGAAAGGGAAGCACTTGTGGATGCGGAACTAGCATAGCGCGCTCATTCTCACATATCATACTGTCATCAGATCGACGAAACTGTCAACAGACCGACAACTCACTCCCTCTCCTTGGCGCCATGAAATCTGAGGACAGACATTGCACAGCATCGCATTCTCATATGATGCCCAGTCCGACACATCGCCCGTTGCCCGTCCCACGTCACCTGCACTGCAGGGTGAACAAGCCGTGCACAGCCATCACGTGCGTCCCGTGACCGGGCCAAGTCGAACGGCCTGTCGCGAAGTGGCCGCGCCGCCTGCGCAGAGCTACGACACTGTGCGGCGGGGGCCTTTGTCGGGGGCGATTGATTCCCGGCTCAAAGAGCCGTGCCATGGCTGTTTGCCAGCTGTTGTGATGGATGGGACACGCCCCCCGCTGTGCGGACAGCCGTCGACAGTGCATTCGCTTTGGACCGCTTGCTGTGTGCTTTGAACGGTTGTGAATGGCTTGCGTGGGTGGCGCGTTGTTGGTTCTCCGTTATCGGAGTTATGTTATACGCAGATGTTTGAAGTGTTGCACAACGTCATAGCCGATATACTATGGCGTCTGAAATGAGTCACGTGCGAACTTGTCGATATTTTGGTAATAATTCATCGATGCTGGCGTTCTGTGCAGCAATTCAGCCGACCAATCATTTTCCCATCACCGCCAGGAGGAATGCGAACAATGGAGGGCACGTTCACCAGGTGCGTTTCTGACAGCAAAACTATTGTGTGACAGTGCGAGACTGGAGAGGTCATCTCCAGCCCCATTCTGGAGCGCGTTAAGGCATGCTCTGTTTCGCAGACTTTAGAGGGGATCGAGCTGGTGCTGTCAAGGAACAGGTGCGGCAGAACCTACTTCTAACTGCTTTCGCTAGGGATAATATATCGAAAGCTCCCGGCCAGTGCCCATGCTCGCAGGGATCTGACGTACCTACCATACTGTCACGTTTCGTGACGTGCGAGCTTGTTTCCTCGCCACAAAACGCTTGGTTTAAAAATTGGCATAGGATGGGGTAAAAAATGCTCTTGTCCTTTTCATTGTGGAAAAGAAGGCGACGCAGTGCGCACTTCCGTAGAATATTAGAATATGCCTGCGAATGGCTTATATATCAATTCCATATAGTGTCCATATTCAATAGTTTCATTGTTGCGCATGTGGAGGGCAGACGTCCACATTAAGCAATCTCAGCCTTTTAATGGGCAGTCAAATGCGCCAGAGTGGACTAAGCTCAGCTATAAATGGAATCAAAGCATATGAGTGGGTTATGCGGGCCGGCCTCACGTGCCAACTGACATGCCTTTCGCAATCATGCTCATAAAGGCCTCCTACATGTGACAGATGGAGTAAGGCAGCAATGCAGGCAGTCATTCGGCATGTTTTGCTACGTTACATGCTTCCCAGATAGAAAAGAAGACTGCAGTCAGGCCAGACGACCCGACCCATGAAACGAGCGGTCCTAGTCCACTACAAATACGGCACTCGAGGAATGTTTGCCCATGTCCTCAGACAGCTGGTGTGAAAACGTCAGCTGCCTTGCAATCATCATAATCGCACACGCTGACGGCGAAGGACGTGGCCGAGCCGGACTGCTCGCTTCAGGCAAGCCTAATCCAACGTTACAACGCCCAAACAATGTCACGATGACCAGGCGAAAGTCAGCGCTAGCGGAGCGACGACTGCGCCTCGGGCGCTCGTCGATACCTGCACGACAATGTCATCGATCGGCTCCGATTTGTGAACTCGATTATAAGAGGCCGAAAGATGTTCCCTTTGTGCCCTAGATGTGCCCTAGACAGCGAAACCAGACAATTGACTGCGTGTGGATTTGGTTGGATGATGTACATTGCAGCGTGGCACGAACTTCAGGTTCTGAGACTTAAATTCGAGTCATCTACATCGCTGAAAAGTATTTAGCTCGCAACACAGTTATAACAGGCGCGCACCATCACAGACCATAGCATCGTTTTCATTAATCTAGTTTTACTAATGACCGTTTTATGATTACATATGGCTGGATACATACATAAAAATGTTTCGCAGCTGTTCATGATATATTATTATGGAAACATCGGAAATCGACCCATAAATGGCTAGGAACACATTTGCTTGGAGCTGATCTTAGAGGCGACTGGCTGGATTACAGACCACCACCGAGTCTATGACACGATCTTCGTGGAGGGGCTGCCACCCTCAAACTAACAACACAGGCATTTGAGTTGACATGCATCACCGTGCATACTTTCAGTTCACGTTTGGTGCTGAAGACACGCATTCTGAGCTGAATGCTCTCCACGGGGGCTGGAGGCACGGATGCTGGATCTGGGAGTGCTCTGTGATGGATCCTCAAAAACAGATACGATTCGCGCAATTCGATGCAGAAACGTTTCAACGTTCACAAATGGGGCATTTGTTTCCTTCGACTTTGCAATGACCTTTGACCTTTCATGTAAAATAAAGCGTTTCAGGGTTGTCTCCGTTCCATCCCTCCCCACTTCGGACTATCCACTTATATTTAGCCCGACTCATCGCTGTAATTTCATCGGTTGTTCTCACATAATTCAAGTTGAACTACAGACAACCTTTTGAAGAGGGTGCACTGGCCTTGTAATAAAGGGGACGAAAGATGCACTTCACAGTTTTTTTAACCGGTTCTCATTTGAGCGCACCATAGCTATCAAATTCATGCCACATTCTATAAAGAATGACGCAATTTTTGAGAACCTTGACATTTACCAAAAACCTAGCTATTTTAGCTCCCAGTTTACTCTGCTTAACGAATAGCTGGTGTGCTTTTAGCGCGCAAATCGTCCGGAGAGACAGCTTAATTGAATTCGTTGAGCAGCATAGACTGAACACCAACTGTTAAAAAGGCATGCATCAGAGTGTTTCGGTGAGCGCAGTTATGGTTGCACGTTCACAGGTTTCCTCGCCGAATGTCACCTTCATTACAAGAGTGACAACCCAGAGGCGTGCATTCGAGGAAGAGTTGCCCCGTACATGATTCGTAGTCGAGTCGAGCCGCGTAAGTATAAAACTGAACTCAGAGCTGCATCCGATCTGGTTACCGAAATTTCTCAAGAAATCTTCAGCACCGCTCTACATCAGCAAATCCATGGTTCGGGCCAGCGTGCGATGGATCTGCCGCACACAAACGCGATCACTGACACACGTGCGACGTGGCGGCCTGCCCTAGAGACATTGTGTTATCCCCGTGCCAAGGCCACCTGGATTTCCGGGCTATGGGCATCTTGAAGCACCGTGAAAGTGCTCTAGTGCCAGGTGTTTAAAGTAGCTGCGCATTTTTATCTACCTTAACATTA